TCACAAGATTGGTTTGAATAACTTTTTTTTTTCAATTTGAATAAAAAATCTTGGGAAAAAAAAAATAAATTTTGGTTTTTTCTTTGACATTTAAAAAAAAAAAAAAAAAAAAAAAAAAAAAAAAAAGAAGCAAAACCAGAAGAAAACTGTGAGTTTTTAAATATTTCTTGACATCTCTTGTTTACTTACAAATGTAATTTTGTGAAAATACAAAAACCAAGCAGTGTTGAACTATAATTAAAAAAAAGTGTTCATTTAAGATCACATTTTTCTCATGATACAAAAAAAATGCACTTTATAGAATTTGGTCAGAATGACCTGAGTATGTAAATCCTATAAATAATCGTCCACTCCCACTAGCCTTATTTTATGATACAGTAATGTGCTGTACCAAAGTATGTGGTTCTTTTTACCTCTCTTCTTGTTTATTGAAATCTTTGTCTAATTTACTGCTGTTTTCATGATTTTCTGTTTGTTGCAACAGGCTACATGCTTTAATTATCAGAAAAAGAAAAAAATACAAACAAATACAACTACACTGCAAGAAAAACTGAAATCTAAGCAAATATTCCTTAAAATAAATGCATTTTTTCTTGAACTGAGAAACTAAAAGTAGAGTAATACTATTTACATTTAACACTGCAGTTTCTTGTGTCTAGTGCATGATATCTAATTATATAGTTTTAAGACAAAATATTCATTCCAGTGGCAGATCATCTTTTTACCAAATAGAATGATACGTAAATACACTTATTTTAAGAAACTCTTACTAAGTTTCAGATTGTTTCTGCAGTGTAAATATAGAAAATATAAAGGAATATTACAGAAAGGACAACAGGACCTCCTGACCACCTTTGTGTTACGTACCAAACTCACTGTAGCAGTAATATTCCCTCTCATCCTTCTCCTTTCTGCACTCGCTCATGCAGAAGGCATCGTGTGTGTAGTCAGACTCTGTGGAAAAGAGAAATGCAGCAGATGCAGAGTTTGAGAAGTTTAATTCCTGAAGCTTTTCAAGCAACAGAAAATATTCTGAAGAAAAACCCAAAAAATCGTCTGCAGAGTAAAGAGAGAAATCCTTCCAGTCATCAGTTGAATCGTGGCTTTTTAAAAAGAGGTAGACTGAACTTTAATTGTAAAAGACAGTAGGCTTTTTATTGTAATCTCTAAATATGTTAATTTGTTGTTTCCTTATTGTGTAAATTCTTATTAATTTAGCTAATAGACATAGTGATTTTTAATCGTAGAGGTTTAATAGTAGGGATGCACGATATTGG